TGAAGATTTAGAATGCGTTTGCAACCCTAATCCATTCCTCAGTATATAGGGAACATTTGCAGACAAAAATCACAAGGTTTTAGAGGCGCAAAAGAGAGAACAAAACTTGGAAAAATCACAAAAAGGTGGTAAACTGATTTTGCACTTCCAGGAATTTACAAGGCTCCCTAACCATCTCATTCACTTCCTGGGATCACAAGCAAGCTGTACCAATCAAGAACAAGCATGCTAGTGCCCAGAATTCATCCCGACGACTCCCACGGTTTGCCCATATTTCCAAAACTGAATCTTGTTATTCTTGCACATTCATCATGTTTTAATAGTATATTCTTGTTCCTTAACACATTTGCAAGCTATCTATATCATTTAATTGCGTTTTTGTGGACTGTATCAGAGTTTACCATTGTTAGGGTTTTTTGCTTCGATTTAGGATCTTTGTGTACAGGTAAAATTGGCCTTCAAGAAGGGCACCATCGTGCTCAGCAGGCCAAGACGAATCAATCCATGGCATTAGACTCCATTTATCATGCCCATGGGAGATTTTGAAATAAGCCAGGGTTTTAGTGACGGACACACGTCTGTAGGTAAAAGTTTATGAATTTTACCAACGGAGCGAGGTCAGGGATGACTGGCGTGGCACCATCTCATTCGCTGATTTGAATTCTGGCGCTTTTTTTCCACTAACCTGCATATATTATATATTATCATTTATTATTATTCTATGTACAAATAGAACGTGCAGCGCAGTTGGTAGTGGAGCAGTTGGAAAAGGTCACAGGACCTGGGTTCGAATCCCAGGTCCCCCAAATTATTTCACATTATTTTTCTTTCCATAATCAGGTGCGTGTATGGGCTGGGAGATCATCATGCATCCTCAAGATTTAACCCTTAGATCTCCAGATGGCCAGATCTAAAGGCCATCATATGAAGGACCACCAACAACTACAGTCAACGCATAGCACTGGAATGGGCAAGTCAACATGGATAAACTTGTTTTTGGGCCCAGAAGTTGATACTCCCACCCCCCAAATTGCTGATTCTCAGGCCCATTTACTTTTCTCTATTCTTTTTTTTCCATCTTTTTAATTAATTAATTTATTTATATTTACTAACAAAAATCAATTTTTTTTCTTTTTATCAAAAACTCATAAAAATAACTTTTTCACCCAATTAGATTTAGGATATTTATTTTTTATACAAAAATTAATTAAATTAGGTTATTTAATTTTAGGTAACTTAAATTATTTTGTAAATAAATTAAAAACAATTAGAACAATTAGGGTTTTTTTTTCTAACTTAATTCTATTTTCTTTTTCTTAAAATAACCAAAAGCACAAAAATAGGTTAAATTTAGTCATTTTCTTTAATTAATTTAATTACTAACTAATTTTGTATTTAATTTAAAAATCTTATTCTTTCTTCTTTCTCTCAAAAACAATTAAAAACAACAAAAACTTTTTTCTTCCGATTAGGTTAGACGGGGTCAAAACCCTATTTCTTTTCTCGTTCTTAATTCATCACGCGCGCTTTATATTTTTTACCATATTGATGTAATTGCTCACAAGTTGTAATAGCTTAATTAGGATTTTTCTCCTTTTCATTTATCTTTTTTTTTGCGGGTTGTTTTTGGCTATGTAATTAATACCTGAAGCCTTGTAATAGCGTAGCTTTACTTTCCGCACTTTAAATTCCGCAAACATTAAACTGTTAGATGTATGAATAATAGGGATGCATGACAAGAATGTATGTAAACTTTAAAACAGTTAGCAAACCCTAAATGTGCAAAGATAAATAACTTGAAATTGAATCACTCGCACATGCGCACTCCTAGAGTATACTCCCACTTCGGTTGCCTTCGGTAAACGATCATTGAGTATAGGATATTTTAGTGGTCGCTCTTTTGTCTCAAAGATCAAAGTTGCCTCGGAATAGTTGCCTCGAATATTGATCTTAAGACATTAGGGTTATTACTAAGACGTCCTAACATTGCTTTAGTGATCGTACGTCCCTTTTCGAATTGACCCGTAAAACTCCAACGACGGTGCTACCTACTCACTAATAGTGGGATAATGTTGTCTAAAGGAAACGAACATAGAACAATTCTTTTTTCGAGTAGGTAGATTAGTTCTTAAGTACTTGCTCAAAACAATTTTTCCACACTTACACTCTTTTACAACAAAGTTTTCAAAACGACTTCGTAACACTCTTGAAGACAGAAACAAGAGTTAAATCAAAGTAAAACAAAAACTTTTCAAATCATACAAACACAGAAGCAATCTTTAAAATGATGAGCAAGTACCTAAGATCCCGTAGAAAACTACGGATAGAAAGGGTGCTAATACCTTCCCTTTCTATAATCTACCCCCCCCCCCCTCCCCCCGTACTCAGAATATCTCAAAAAAGGAATTTTTCTGTGCTTTTTTTCATTTCCTTGTTGGATAAAATAAAAGTCGGTGGCGACTCTTGCTTACCGCGACATTTTGCGAACACAAACGCAAAACGCAAACTAGCATTTTCCTAAAACAGTCTGGTTCTGCCACCGTATCACATTTATAAAGTACTTCCATTTGAGCTAGTAATGTTGTGTGCAAATCAACTACAAGAACACCTTTTTATTTCACTGCTCGATCATTTAAGAGATGTTCATTTTGGCACACATTTTTAATTAGTGCTTTTAACTCATCTTCATTCTTTGCTCTCTATGTGCCTTCAGCCGAGGCATCAAGAAGCATTCTCGTTAGTGTTTTCAGCCCACTGATGAAATGTGTCATCTGCACTGTAGGACTCTTATAATGGTTCATACACTTACGGAGTAATAACTTGAGTATATCCCATGCATCAGATAATGATTCATACATGTCATAATCAAAGTTGGAAATTATGGCTTTTCTTTCAACGAATTGAGCATTTGAATGATACCGCTCTAAAAACGTGTCTTCTAGTTCTTTCCAGGTCGGAGTATTACCATTTGGTATGCATTGCAGTCAATCTTTTGCGGAAACTATCAAAGAAAAATCAAACAAACGTAATTTTACCTAATCGTCAGTAATGTCATTCAGTGTTTGCACATTGAGCACGTCTCATAAAATTTTGAAAGATGTTCCCAAGGATCTCAGGTTGCTTTCCTGTCGAACAATTTACCCTTCAAACCTGGAAGTAAAAAATTCTTAATATCAAAATTTATAAGATTAGCCAGCTGGAGTCCTAAAGATGTCTGTCCAGCATCAGTTCTCCTGCAATAATCCCCTAACGTTTGTCATGGTGAAACTACCATATTTTCTCTTTCTTATTTTGGTTCTTCCATAACTTGCAGTGCTTCCCATTTTGTTGTACGAATTGCTGGCATTGTTCTTTTGATTACTAGTTCTATCAGTATCACTGTCGAATCCGAACCTCGCATAAGCAAACAAACAAACAATATCTTAGTAGCATTGCACCAAACCAAAAACAAACAATATCTTAGTAGCATTGCACCAAACCAAACAGAACAAGAGTAGAAATAAATAAAAATTAAAAATTAAACTAAACTTATTAATAAAAGTAAAATTTAAAATTAAAAATGTCGCACGATAATGTCTTGTTGAAATTATCAACAATTCCCGGCAACAACGCTAAAATATTGATGAATAAACTAGCAAGTGTACTAATCTCGTCGAAGTAATAAAATAATTCGTCTTCACATAGATTGCGAATTTAAACTAGGTAATAACAATGCGATTTAAAATAAATAACAAGGGGGTTTTCAATAATGATTTGGTTACAAAAATAAGACGAGAATTTTGTCGAAGTAAAATTCGATAATGAAAAGTGATTAGATATTTATTTTGAATCCCCCAGTTATACATGTTAATGCATTGGGTATTAAATGAATTACAATTACACTATAATCTCACGGAAATTAACAAGACCATTGTACCCAATTCTTTGGTGTACAAGTCACTGCTTTACACAATAATTCTCTAATTCCCTAGGCCAATTCAGAGTTAAACTAGGCATTTTATGTTCGTTAATTTAAAAGCCACAACTTATAATTACATATTCCTAATTAATTACTAAGTTGAATAATTGACCTAATTCAAATCGGTAGACTTACAGTCATAATAGCTACTCCCCTGAGATCAATTTGCGCCCTCGTCAACACAAAAAAGTATTAAAAAAAGAACAATTAAATAATAATAATAACATAAAAGCATTCAAATAATCTCAAACAATCATATGATTCAACAGAGTACAATTTGGTTCATCTCAAAAGATCTAATCTAAAACAACTTAGCACTCATAGTGAACTTAACAATTACCATGAGTTGATATGAAGTATTCATCAAAATATATGAAAAATAAGCTCTCTAATGCTCCAAAGCTTATCGCTGTCACTTACTATCTCCAATTCAGAATCCTTAAAAAGTAGCAAAATGTCCTATAAATAACAGTTGGTACGTGTCAGAAAAGCACAAATCGCGACCGCGTTGGAACGAACTGCAATCGCGGTGTGACGTCATCGCCTCCACGATGAAAGCATTGCGGTCGCGAGAGAACCAATGACAAATTTTCTTTTTTTCTTTTTGCTTTTTATTCTAATTTTCACCAAGTCCCTGTTTTTTTCCTCTTAGGAGATTTTACTCACTTCTTCATATTTTTTCATGATTTTTGCTCATAATTCTACCAATTTTATTTTAAATTGTTCGCAAATATTACATTATTGTTTGGTTGAACCTTTTGGCGATAAGGCGTGCCTTGTATCCTTATATAATGCCATTGACTAAAAACTTGAGTTTAAATCTACTGGTAGCCAATGAGTTTTTTCTTGAGAAGAAGGGTGGTTAAAATCAGAAGTATATATAAGTCAAAACAACAGTGTTGCACTGCATTGCATGCATTCCATTATTAATAACATGAATTTTCAGCCATATGTACAAGAATCCTGATCAAAACTCACAATGTTAGATAAAAATACAAGTGTTTTTCCCCTCAGAGAGTACTCAACTAATCTCAAATTCACTTCACTTGTCAAACTGATACACTTGTTTTCTTTTCGGCTTTCTTCTTGTCCCTAACATCCTTTTCCAGAAGCTTTGTGGTCCAGATTTCTTCGCAGGTAAAATGGCCAAAGAATTGACATTAACACCGTCATCGTCACCTCTAACTCCCGTCAAAACTACAATCTTTTCAAGCGGCTGCATAAAGCCTTTTTCACTTGCTTTGCAAGCCTTGGTTTTTGCATCATCATCAGCAAGCATTTGATCCAAAAGAGACGGCCGGTTTTTCATCTTCGTGTCTTTAAAGGGGAGACTGACATTGGATGTGTTTGTGATTATAGGACGACGATGAGCCGCGATAATGTTGTCGAATAGGGACATATCCTTTTTTGCAGCCAATGCCTTCAACTGCTTCTCAAGGATAAGGATGGTTTCTTGACACTCTGCTAACTTTTCTGAAGCTGCTGTTATCTCCCATTCCTGCAGGATTTGTAAACAAACCTCAAAACAATATTGCAACAAAGTTCGATTTTCCTAGTAAGGGAATAAAACAGATGAACTTACAGTTCGCAACGGTTCGTTTTTCTGATTAACGTAATCATTCGAGTGCGTCCTTTTCATGCTGAGAAGATAAAGATATTGATATGTGAGTATGACAATATTTAAATAAGAAAATAAGAGCTAAACGCTTCAAAACTCTGTAGCACCGACACCTCTGAAAAAATGCGTGGTGTCAGTGTTAGTGTCTGTGTCGTGTTTCTAGTGTCCGTGCTTCATTACTCCAATCTTATTACAGTCTTGAAACATAGTTAGAATATTGAAGGATTAGATTAATTGGTACCTTTCAAGCTGAAGCTGAAGTTCAACAAATTTTGCGTCTAATTCTTCACAATAGTGATTCTTGCTTTCTAGTTCCACTTCTAATTCCAAAATCTTGTGATAAGCCTCATTTAGTTCGGTTTCTGTAAGCTGAGTGTCGTGATCTCTATTTAAGGATCTTTCGTCTCGTAATTGATCTTCAAGTCTTTTATTGGACTCCTTTGAGATTTGTAACTCAAATCTCAAGCTGGCAATAGTTTTCTCTAATTCCTGAAATCGATTCGTATCTGCTAGCAATTTTTCTGCACCTGTGGTTGTTCCAGTCTGATCCCAATCAAATTGTTTTTTAACTTCATCCTCCATACTTGAAACATCATGAATTGAAAAGCAATGATTGATAATCCATTCCAAGGTTGTAGTTAGTTCAATGCCAAAATTTTCATGATCAGCCTTACCATTCAGTAAACTATAACAAGCATTGAGAAATTTCTGTAAGACATCGCTGAGATCGGATGTTTTCCACTGAAAAAGACGGACCATGTAGCCGGTCGATGCTTCATGATTATTACTATCGTCAGCAGGCACGTTGATCCCTTCAATAAGCTCAATCATTTTGCCTATTGATTTATGCAGATCTCTCTGAGATTGTGTCCTAGTTCTCTTTATCGAAGGATTCTCAGCATTACGCGCATCGAATTGACAAGAATCTTTGCCTGAATCAAATGTACATTGATCTTCTTTCTTTTCAACCGAGACCACCGCTAATTTTTCCATTTCAATGAAATCATCCATAAGGTTTATACCTGAAGGTCCAAAACTTTTGCATGACAATGACTCCTTCTGTTTTGGACTCTTAAAGTGATCCAATTCTGAAATCAACGCAGAAGCCGAGGACTCTGCGCAGCTGACATTATCATCATTTCCAATCTCAGACACCGATGTCGAAGATAATTCTTGCAATGCAAGATCACTCCTAGGCTGCTCCAATGCTACTTGACCTTTAGAAGCTGTTCGCGAAAGCATTACTTTTGAAAATTGGACTTCACTTCGAGTATCAAGTTCCTTTTGAAGCACCCGAGCCTCATACTTTAGAGAAGCATTATCTTTTTCAACGGACTCCAATCGAATCATCAACGCATCACGATCCACCTCAGCTTCAGTCAACTGTCTTTCCATATCTTCAATCAAATTATCTTTCACAATAATAAATTTATTAAGATAAGAATTCTCAATCACAGTTTTCGCAAGCCTTTTACTAGTCTCTGATAGTGGCTCCTCTAAAACAATGCGCGATTGATCAAACTCTATCGAAGCCTTCATCAAAGCATCATAGATCCTTTGCTCTTGTTCATCTCTAACGAAATTTAACTGCTGCATACATTCCTTAAGAGCACAATCCAAATTCGCCACTCTTTCTTCATAAAGTAATTCCTGGTGTATAGATTCCTCGAGATGTTCCTTCATCGATAACAATTCAGCTTCCGCTTTCTCCCATCCTTCAAAAGAAACTTTCATAAAAGACTGATATAATATAACTAATTTAAAAAAAAACTATGCATAATAGATCTTAATTCATATACACTGTGTCAACATTTTTACACTGTCAATCAATCAATCATAAACGTCAGATCACTACAGACATATGTGTGATGTGTTGACAATATAAAATTTTATACACTGACAATGCATGAAAACTAAACTCGATAATACTATTGCGATTTACATCTTACAAAATAAAAATGCAAGAACATTACCTAACACTGCTTCTTGAACAATTTTTGTTTGTTTCTTCATATGTTCATCTTTAGTATTACATTCAGAAAGTGCTAAAACAAGTTTATCATTCAATCTTTTTAACTCTTTCTCCAATTTTTCTTTATCATCCAAAAGTTCCAACACCTAAAACAGCAACAAAAAAAAAATTATATATATTAAAAAAAATTAAAAAAAAGAAAAAAAATGCAAATTAGATGCATTCATAATCCAGATCTCTAACATATAGTTACATGCAAAATCCAGAATTATTTAATTTGAACCATTTTATAATTAAAAACTAATTAACTAAGAATTTAGAATAGGTTAAAATTACCTACCTCATGATTTTCTTTTGAAGTAAGATTTGTCTTGTCGGTTTCCAAAATTGACTTCTCTCTTGACTTTTTCTCCCAATTCCACTGTTTTTGATCCATTAACTAAAATAAAACTTTATATAATATTTATATTCTGCATGAAGAATTTGTTAGATTAATTATTTACTACACTATGAACTAAAATCATAAGGAAAATATTTAGCTCAAGAAAATAAACTACATTAATAAAAAAATACTCATGGAATTTTCAGCATTATATTTGAAGAGTGAATTTGGATTCTGACCTGAAGAGAATGAAGATGAAGCTGTGGTTAATGGTTATGCATGGAGGATTGAAGAGAAGGGTAGAGGTAGAAGAGAGATGAAGAAAATGATGTAACGTGTAGTGTTTATGATGTGTCACCGACGGTGTGAGTTGAAGGAAAAAGACTCAACTAACTATGCTTTTTATTTATAATAATAACTGCAAAAGTGTGGTTTCTTTCATATATTAACGAATAAAGTTATTTATCAGATATTGAGATGTTTTAGCTAACTTATTTAATGTTGTCTTTTCAAATATACTTTATCTTTAATGTTCTTAGATAAGGTTTTTAATGAAATTATTTATTGATATTTAGATACCAATAGAGAAAAATATCGGAGTAAAAATATTATACATTATATAGTAAAAATAATTTTGATAAATTTTTACAATTATTTGATAGATCTACAATAAATTAATTTTTAAGACTTTGCGAGTTTGGAGGAGAGGAAGGAGAGAAAGAGAGAAAACATTCGAAAATAAAGTTTTAAGACATAAAATGTCACTTACTAGACACAGATTAGGAGTGAGCAATGTCGTGTTCCGGCTGTCGTCTTCAATCATCCATCATCTTTTAAACTCTTAATTAATCTTTTCAAGAGAATGAGAAATAGTGTCTGCTTGACTTTACAAGTATTAGCAGTGTTATGTTGAATGAACATGACTCATTTGACCAAGTAACAAGACACAGTCATCGACCACTAGTTTATGTACCCTTGTAAGCACGCAACGCAACTATCACATGCTTAAAATTTAATCACACTCTCACATTAATATCTCAATCAATACTCCCTCAGGAGTTTAGATTTTTTTTAACATGCACACTTTTTGATTATATTAAAAAAAATGTTTAAAATTAAAGAAAAATATGATGATTATTTCGATATTATTATATTGAGAAGCTACATATGTGAGTCACTACTAGTACTAACTCATTTGTAAAACAACATTTGGTTGAATTAATGTTATATTGTAATTCATAGTGTCGAAAAGATTAAATTTGTTTTAGATTTAAATTGATTTGATTTAAATCTAGAATAGATTTGATTTAGTAATAAAATAGATATTTTAGACTTTGAGTTTAGGGTGCAAGCTCAGTTATAAATAGAAGGAGTAACCTATATTTTTTGTAAGCAAGTGAAGCAAGTCATTCACAGTATTTTGCAGTTGCAAAGTGAATAAGAAAGTTTTCACAGTTTGTGAGCAGAGAGAAACTCTGCAGAAATTATTTGTCTTGTCTTCTTTCTTTGTTTGTCTCATAATTAAATTGTCATTGTGGTAGAAATTTATCATAGACTTTGGTGGATTTCCAACATCTGATATCAAGAGCTTTGTTTCGATTCGAGAGAAGTATCAATCAAGAACGATTAAAGAATTCACGATGGCGAATTATGGGAATGCAAATTACTCAGCAACTCTACTAATTCTGAAAATAGACAACTATGAGAATTGGTGCAAACAGATGAAAGTTTTGTTCAGGTGTCAAGGGCTTTGGGACCTTGTAAAAGACGAAGTCGAAGCGCTTGGAGAAAACGCTTCAGAAGAAGAAAAGAAGAAACACACAGAAATTGAGAAGTTGAGTTATAAAGCACTATTTATAATTCATCAATGTGTGAGTCCAGAAAATTTTGAAAAAGTAAGTGATTCAGAATCTGCAAAAGAAGCTTGGGATGTTCTTGAGAAGTCCTTTGGTGGTGCAGAAAAGGTAAAATAAGTGAGGTTACAAACTCACAAGAGAACTTATGAATTGTTTCAGATGGAAGATAGTGAGAGCATATCTGATTTCTTCACTAGAGTTACAAAACTAGTGAATCGAATCAAGGCATGTGGAGAAACATTAACAACAAGAGCTGTTGTTTCGAAGATCTTAAGATCTTTAGCTCCTAAGTTCGACCACATAGTGGTGGCGATAGAAGAAGGGAAATACTTGTCGAAAGTGACTAAGGAAGAACTTCAAGGGACGCTTGAATCTCATGAACAAAGAATGAACGAAAGAGTTGCAGGAAAATCGAAGAGTGGTGTGGCCTTGCAGACACATTCGACAAAAGAGACCAAAGGCAAAGAAAAGTGTTTCGACAGAGGTAGAGGTGACTACAACAAATCGAATGATAGAGGAAACCAGATCGAAGGAAATGTGTCGAATCAAAGAAGACCATACTAAGGCAACCAAAGAGGTGGTGTTGCAAATAGAGGAAGACGTAGTGGTTAAAAACCTGATAATAGTCACATTTAATGTTACAATTGTCAGAAGTATGGTCACTATTCGAGTGATTATCCAGAAAAATGAAAGAATCAAGAAAGTGATGCAAAGCTTGCAAAACATGAAGAAGAAGAGATCATGCTGATGGTCACAACAAGAGATGAAGATATATTCAAGAACCAATGGTACTTGGATTCAGGATATTCATCACATATGTCTGGAAGGAAAGTCTGGTTTGTCAATATAAAGCCCTAAACGAAAAATATGATAAAATTTGCAAATGACAATACCCTAGCAGCTGAAGGTATTGGTGATGTTATGATTATGAGGAAAGATGGAAAGAGGTCAGTAATTTCCAATGTATTGTACATACCAGGCATGAAGAGAAATTTGCTCAGTATAGGGCAGTTGGTCGAAAAGAATTATAAAGTGTCAATCGAAGATAAGATGATGAGAGTCGTTGATGCAAATGGGAGATTAATCTTGAAGGCTCCTATGTCTTAGAATCGAACCTTCAAGATTGAACTAAATATGATGGAGCACAAGTTCCTTTTGACTGCAGCTAGAAAAGATGAATGGATATGGCATTATAGACTAGGCCATCTCAAGTTCAGAGGCATCAAATATTTGAAGAGAAGAAATATGGTTTTAGGTTTGCCAGAAATTGACATTCCAAACGAGGTATGTGAGGAATGTGTGCAGGCGAAGCAACACAGGAATAGCTTCAGCAAGGATGTAGGAAGTAGGTTGAAGGCTAGTCTTGAAGTCATATACTCTGATATATATGGACCAATCCAGGTGGATTCGATGGGAGGTAACAAATATTTTGTTATATTCATAGATGATTTCAGTCGAAATTTGTGGACTTATCTGATCAAGAAGAAAAGTGAAGTGATCGAACTATTTGATAAGTTCAAGTCTATGGTCGAAAGACAAAGTGGGCAAAAGATCAGAGTTTTGAGAACTGATGGTGGTGGAGAATATGTGTCGAAAGACTTCGACAGGCCTTGTGAAAAGGAAGGGATTGTGCATGAGGTGGTGTCACCCTATACTCCACAACAAAATGGAATTGCATAAAGGAAGAATCAAACCATCATGAATATGGTGAGAAGTATGTTGAAAGGAAAGAATTTATCTAAAGAGTTTTGGGGTGAAGTTGTTTCGACTGCAACATACATTTTGAACAGATGTCCTACAAAGAAGCTAGAAGGAATTACTCCAGAAGAATGTTGGTCTGGTGTGAATCCTAGCTTGAGTCATCTGAAGGTATTTGGATCTATTGCACATAGATATGTGCCAGAATTGTTGAGAAGAAAACTTGATGACAAGTCAAGTCAAATGATTCTAGTTGGATATCATTCGACAGGAGGCTACAAGTTGTTCGATCCAGTGAAAAAGCAGATTATGATCAGCAGGGACGTGATCATAGATGAGTTTAAAGAATAGGATTAGACTGAAAATGTTAAGAAAGATTCAGTGGGAATCCTATTCAAAGAACCAGAAGCTCAAGTCAAAAGAGAAGTTCGACAAGAGGAACCAACAGATATACCAAGTACAAGCAGACCTCAAAGAACAAGATGCATGCCTGCAAGATTGCAAGATTGTGTGATTACATCAGATGATGTGATAGATGATGAAGGTGAGCTGGTACATTATACTTTCTATGCAGATGTTGAACCTGTTAATGCAGCTGAAGCATTTAAAGATTCGAAGTGGGTGAAAGAAATGAACGAAGAAGTGAAGTCTATCGAAGACAACAACGCTTGGTCACTTGTCGAATTGCCTCAATGCAAGAAGGCAATTGATGTCAAGTGGGTATACAAAGTGAAAATGAATTCGAAAGGGAAAGTAACTCGACACAGAGCAAGACCTGTGGCGAAAGGATTCCTACAGAAAGAAGGAATAGACTTCGATGAAGTTTTTGCACCTGTTGCTAGGATCAAAACAATCAGGTTGGTTGTTGGTCTAGCAGAAATAAACAGTTCGAACATATGTCAGATGGACGTGAAGTGTGCATTCCTAAATGGACCCTTAGATGAAGAAGTCTATGTTAAACAACCAGTTGGGTTTGTGAAACATGATGAAGAAAGAAAGGTGTACATGTTGCATAAAGCCCTGTATGGATTGAAACAATCTCCAAGGGCTTGGAATAAGAAAATTGATAGTTTCCTAAGGGAGAAGGAATTTGTGAAGCGTACAACTGAACATGGAGTATATGTAAGAAGAAGAAAGAGTGAATTGCTTATACTATGTCTCTATGTAGATGATTTGTTAATAACAGGTAGCTGTAAAAGTGAGATCAAATACTTCAAAGGTGATCTCGGCAAGGAATTCGAAATGTCAGATTTGGGTGAGATTTCATATTTCCTTGGTATCGAATTCTACAAGAGCAGTAGAGGTTTGATGATGCATCAAAGAAGATATGCGGGAGAAATTCTCAAGAGGTTTGAGATGGAAGAATGCAACTCAACTTCGACACCTGCAGAACCAAGATTGCAACTATCGAAAGATGCAGATAAAGATGATGTCGACCCAACCCAATACAGAAGACTTATTGGATCATTGAGATACCTTTGTCATACAACGCCTGACTTA